AAAAATATCTTGATCTAATTTAATTCATCTATTTATACATTTGAAATTTTTTTCGAAATCTATGCTATAAAAAGAAAATTAAGGATGATGTCGTTAAATTTATACTATAATTGACAACAAACTTAACAATATCCATATTATTTCATTAAAGTATTTAAAAATTTAACTAAATGCAGATCTGAAAATAATTTTGTTTGAATCATCAAAATAATTATGTAAAATCAGTTTAAGCGTCCTACATAATTATTTTAATGATTCCAACAAAATTATTCTTAGATCTGTGTCTAATTAAATTTTTAGAGATGCTTCAGCGTTCTTTTCATGCGAAATTTTTGCTTGATACAATAATAGACGTTAGAAAGCGATACTATATACTAACGAAACTAACTCACTATATAGAAATGCAAGACGGTGCAAAGGTATTTCTTTATGAATAATCGTTACCGAGGAGTAGATGGACATTCCTTTAATTACAGACAGCTATACGAAAGTCCACCGAGAAACGCAGCTATGTTTCGTGTTAACGAACATCGATAGGCGAGTGCACGGTTGGAATGTTTCCTACCGTATCTGCCGTTAGCGTCCGATTTCGCTACGTTAGATTTCATTCTGATTGCCGGACCCCTTTCTCCAAAAAGTTCCGCAAAGGTTGAACGAACGAAAGCCGCTTTCGCATGAAATCAAGGCGATACTTTCTACGTTTCCTACTCTTTCCCATGTAAGGAGATATTTTTGTATTTCAATAAAAAATCGACACTCTCGATGGCAATAATTATTTAAATGCGAGGGTAATAATTATTTATATTCGCTTTTATTTATATTCGCGATTATAAAATCCTCTTTATACGTATCTTTCTCTCATATTCTATCCCGATATAATATCGCAGCTTCCGCTTATCGTAGACAGGTTCGTTTCCAGCAAACTTAACGTCGAAGTAGCCAGCCCGTAGTTCCCTGTTCGGAATAGAAAAAGAAAAGGATCCAGCGACGCGAGGCGAGGAATACGAGGAAAGGGGCATTAGCGTGCTAAGCAGATGCAGATGAAACAAATGGATTCGCTCAGTGACCGTCGTAAATTCACGGTATCGCGACACGATCCGTACACTCTCGCACGAACGAGGGTACGAGGGCCGCTGGCATCCTTCGGGTGTGAAATTTGCCCGGTATCTAGGAGGACGAGGTATCCGCATATAATTATAGACGTAACGCTCGATTCCGCGTATTAATTTTACGATTTCATTACGTGGCTATTGCATATCTCGCAGTTCTTTCGTTTAAAAGTACCTGATACATCGTAATCTGTTATTGCATCAGATCTGTACGTGAAATATACAACCTTGGCCGAAAATATAAAGTAAAGAACCTCCATAATTTGATGTAAACGTCCTAACAATAAATAAATTATAAGACAGCTTTACTGAAAAATAATATTTAATACAGCTTTTAATATTTTATGTATTTTAATATTTTAATATTTTGTTCCTTTTCTCATTTGAATTTTATTATCGCTTTCTCTAAGAAAATGTAATAAACTGAAGATGCCTTTTAGCCAAGATTGTACAGTCTAGCAGCTCTAAATTGGCAATTTATCTACCGGAAGTTTGAAAAAGATTGCTGCAAAAAATATTTTTGCGTGCGCCACATATATAAACGCGAGGTTTATTTCTATTGAACGATTTAATCGAAAACCACGGCGATTCGCTCTGACACGAACGATACGTTATAATAAGCGATAGATGTAAAAGCGATGCATTACGCTGGACAATAATTTGTCAGTCTTTCACGATGCGCAGTTGATCGATGTTGCATCCGCCCGGGATCGTTTAAATGGTAGCGCCAGTTTGTCGATAAGATTATTAATGGCATGAATTATTCGTGGCTTTTATCGCGATATACACGGCAGCAATCTCTCTTTTTCCGGGTGCCATCGCTATTTCGGATCTCCTTTCTTTTCCGACAATTAATGGCAGAAATTGAAATAGAAATTCACGTATGATTTTATGCGTCATTTATTCACTACAAATTCAGTGTGTGATAAGTGCTTTATATATATGTAATTTAGTTCTATATAAAAATAAAACATCATACTACATGCACGTTTAAATAAATTTAGATAGAAACTAAATTTATAAATCTAAAAATAATTTTGTTGATCGATCAAAATAATTATGTACAACGTTCAAGCTGATTGCTAAAATATCAAAATTTTTCGCAGCATTGTTCATTTTTAATTCCCTACATAATTATTTTATAAATCCATTTTTTATGCAAAACAAATTAAATCAAAACACACAATATGAAGGTATACTTATTACATTTAAACTTGCAGAGATGAAGAATGTAATATATACATTGAAAGATATCTATGTAGAACTAAAAATATAAATATATATATATATAT